CAGAAGGAAGTCTGTTACCGGTTGTGTCTCTCCGGAGTATTTATACCAGCGCGTATCCTCCTCACGCCACTGCGAGGGTTGCCAGATACGGTTTTATTGAGTCGTATTATAGCAGTATCATCTGGACACTTTCAACCTCGGGAAAATACGGTGAGATGATTTCGTCGTTGTTGAATGGGCCGTAGTCAGTACACAGGCCATTCGGAGGGTTGTATTACGAGTGTATTTATGGCTGTATTATTCTGAATGACGCTGACATGTACACTGAAGTCGGAAAACCCGGGTGAAGGAAAGTCGTCAAGGAGAAGTATGCCATTAAAGTTCATTTCTTTTTTTTTCAACGAAAGAAATAACCAAATACTTCCCAGTTAATTTCGAAAAAAAAAACATATTTCTCAATTTTAAACGATCTTTCATTGGTTTTATTTCATTCATTTATTCATTTTTGATACACATTCTCTAACGGGACATAAACATATCACGTGTTCCGTTTTCTTTCAGGATATCGAAGTTCCAGGAGGGACTCAAAAGTTTCGGAAATGTTCCCATTAAATTTCATCAAAACCTGACTCTTATCCTGGATTGCGAAGGCGTTCAGTAAGTTCACGCTTCTTCTGCTTTATTGGGTTTTTCTCTTGCCCATGTCATTATACAGATATTCGCTTTGCTTTATTTTTTATTTGTTTATTTCTTTATAATCGAATTTTATGTATCTATTTGTTATCTTCTCTTATTCATTATAGTATCTATTTTTTAATATATTTGAGGTATTATCATATTTTTTTTACTTTATCAGGTATCAAAATATTTTTTACAAATCATCCTCATCCTCATCATCACCATCATTATCATCACCATTATCATCATCACCACCATCATCATCACCATTATCATCATCATCACCATTATCATCATCACCACCATCATCATCATCATCATTATCATCATCACCACCATCATCATCACCATTATCATCATCATCATCATCATCATCACCACCATCATCATCACCATTATCATCATCATCATCACCAGTATCATCATCACCACCATCATCATCACCATTATCATCATATATTATCTCTATCGTTTCATTTCATCTGTCATTATATCTATCTATTGATTATTGAACTAATTTACATATCTATTCATTACTTAATTCATAATTTCATTCTATATGATCAAAAAGAAAAAGAAAAAGAAAAAGAAAAAAAAAAAGAAAAAGAAAAAGAAAAAGAAAAAGAAAAAGAAAAAGAAAAAGAAAAAGAAAAAGAAAAAGAAAAAGAAAAAGAAAAAGAAAAAGAAAAAGAAAAAGGAAAAGGAAAAGGAAAAGAAAAAGAAAAAGAAAAAGAAAAAGAAAAAGAAAAAGAAAAAGAAAAAGAAAAAGAAAAAGAAAAAGAAAAAGAAAAAGAAAAAGAAAAAGAAAAAGAAAAAGAAAAAGAAGAAAAAGAAAAAGAAAAAGAAGCTCACAAGTCGTATGGAGAAAGTAACACGAAAATAAATGAATAAATGAAGGAAGACGGGGAGACGAGAGGAGAGAGAGGGAGAAAGAGATAGATAAATAGATAGAAAGAAAGAAAAAGAGAGAGAGAGGGAGGTAAATATAGAGATATAGATAGAAACAGAGATAGATAGAAACAGAGATAGATAGATAGATAGATAGATAGATATATAGAGAGACCTATGTGTGTGGTTTGAAAGAACGGAGATAGAAAAAAAAGTAAGAAATGAAATAGAAATAAAAAGAAAGAAAGAAAGGAAACGAAAAAGAAAAAGAAGAAAACAGAAAAACAGAAAATAAAAAAAGAAAAGAAAAGAAAGAAAGAAAGAAAACAAAAACAAAAACACATACATCTACTGAAAGGCAACGAACATAACCCGTTTGCTCTGAACGAAGTCTTGTTCCGGGTCGTTCAAAGTATAACATTTTCTTTCGCCATATTTCCTTACTCTTTATTCAGTGACTCAGCCATCTATTCTACTAGTGGGTTATATTACCTGTTACCTTTATTTAATGGTTTATTTTTCTGTCTGGGGTGTTTCTTTTAGGTTTTAGTTTATTGTGTAAAGAGAGAGTTTAGAATGAATTTCGTTATAGGAAGGGAGGGCGGAGAGGGAGAGGGAGAGAGAGAGAGAGAGAGAGAGAGAGAGAGAGAGAGAGAGAGAGAGAGAGAGAGAGAGAGAGAGAGAGAGAGAGAGAGAGAGAGAGAGAGAGAGAGAGAGAGAGAGAGAGAGAGAGAGAGAGAGAGAGAGCGAGAGAGCGAGAGCGAGAGAGCGAGAGCGAGAGCAAGAGAGAGAGCGAGAGAAGAGAGAGAGAAGAGAGAGAGAGAGAGAGAGAGAGAGAGAGAGAGAGAAGACGAGAGAGAGAGAGAGAGAGAGAGAGAGAGAGAGAGAGAGAGAGAGAAGAGAGAGAAGAGAGAGAGAGAGAGGAGAGAGAGAGAGAGAGTGAGAGCGAATGAGAGAGAGAGAGAGAGAGAGAGAGAGAGAGAGAGCGAGAGAGAGAGCGAGAGAGAGAGAGAGAGAGAGAGAAGAGAGAAGACAGAGAGAAGAGAGAGAGAGAGAGAGAGAGAGAGAGAGAGAGAGAGAGCAGAGAGAGAGAGAGAGAGAGAGAGAGGGAGAGAGAGAGAGAGAAAGAGATAGGTAGAAAATTTAAAATGTCAACAAATAGTTTATGTGAATAATTACTGATTATAGTACCAGATGTATTCTCTAAAGATGAAATATATTGCCATTTAAGAATGAAAAACTACGATGTAAATATAACTATCCGTGTTGCAAAGACCAAGAGGATATATTGAACAAGTCCTGCCACGCACAAAGGAACATTCGCAACAGACTTACAAGACCATAATAAACTCACACGTAAGTACGCTAAGAAAAAAAAAGAAACAGTGAAAAAGAGAGAGAGATAGAGAGAGAGAGAGAGAGAGAGAAGAGAGAGAGAGAGAGAGAGAGAGAAGAGAGAGAGAGAGAGAGAGAGAGCGGTAAAAGAAAGAGAGAGAGAGAGAAGGAAAGAGAGTCAAAGATTTCACATGCTTCCATATACCCTCCTCAAAAATATAGCTAAAGAAAAAAAAAGTGGGACAAAGAAAAGAAAAGAAAAGAAAAGAAAACAAATAGAAAGAAGGAGAGAGAAAAAAAGGAGAAATTACCGACCCGAATCGAAACTTGTTATCAGAGAGCCTCCCCCCCTTCCCCCCCGCAGGCCGCGACCTATCCTGACCCTGAAAAGGAGTTCAGCTCCGGCCCCTTCTGTCTCTCTCTCTCTCTCTCTCTCGGTTTCTTTCTCTCTCTCTCTCTCTCTCTCGGTTTCTTTCTCTCTCTCTCTCTCTCTCTCTCTCGGTTTCTCTCTCTCTCTCTCTCGGTTTCTTTCTCTCTCTCTCTCTCTCTCTCTCTCTCTCTCTCTCTCAGTTTCTCTCTCGGTTTCTCTCTCTCTCTCTCTCTCTCCCCCTCCCTCCCTCTCTCTCTCTCTCTCTCCCCCTCTCTCTCTCTCTCTCTCTCTCTCTCTCTCCCCAATACGTTTCCTTTCCTTTCCTTTTTTTCTTGTTCCTGTTCTTCATTTTTCTTCTTCTTCGTCGTCGTCCTCTTCTTATTTAGATCTGACTTGATATATAAATTCACACACATACACACACAAAATCAAAACAATAAAATGCATACCTTAGCCATAATATACCGTAGCTATGCGTCGCAGAAAACAAAAACCTTATTACATAACAAAAGTAACTACTGCATATGTACAACGTTACAATACATACAGTATAAAACAAGGCAACAATTACTAAACCTCATATTTTACCTGAAAATTTGATTTAATAATTTCTGTAGATATAATCTAGTTCATCAAAGCATGGCAATAAAAGTGGGTAAAATTATAATATATTTAGAAAATGTATTATAATAAAAGGATACTGGGAGTGGATTAAATGTAATATAAACTTTATCAGAAAATAATATGACGAGATCACTTGGCCGCTTTTAAGTTCATCGTGGTTCATCTGGGTGTTCATGAAGCCTCATGAATCAGAATGGATTTCAGAATATATTAAAGTAAAACAGGTTAAACTTGACCATTACTATATATGTAATATAACTCACCAAAGTATGGTAAAAAATGGAATAAAACAAATCCTGAAAATGTTGATATGATATCAGAATATCGGGCGTGGATCAAACTTTAATTAAACTTCATCTCAACAATCATTGCGGTTCATTTAAGTGCCCATGAAGGCTCACGAACAAGATTGGTTACAGAATAGACTAAGGTGATCAGATATAATTGGACTTTGAGAATATATCGCTGAAAAATAGGTATCCTAAACAGAAGACGTCATATCACTAGAATGAATGGAGCATTTGATATTATAAACAGCCATGAATTGCAAGAAATTTGAAAAAGATTTCCATGACATTGAAAAAAGTGACTTGACTAAGTTCTGTAGTTCATTTAACCACATGCATGATCACAACTACTACAAAAAGACTTATATTGAACACTTGGATTGAATAAACGAAGACTTTGAGACTTTACGAACAAATGCCCAAACAGAGCAAGGTGAGGAAGACACTTTGAGTTACCGGAAGTTGCTAAGTCAAGTCACGAACACTTGATTGCATCGTGAGTTAATATTTGTAATGTTTGTTTAGTTTTGGTGCGATTTTTAAATATGCTTTTGTTTTTCTGTTTATCTTGCCATCTCTATTATTTTTTATTAACATCATTGTTATTATTGCAGAATTTGTTGTTATAAGTAATATTATTATCATCATTATTGTCTTTATCTAATTATCACCGTTGGTGTTATCATTACTATTACTTTACGTCTGTATTCGTCTTACGTTAAGCATTCCTTAAAGACTTACTTCAGTAAAATTAGAAATTCGTAGCACCGTCTAACAACAATTTACTAAATATTTTGTAATAGTCACGCAAATACATGTCTTTTCCCTCAATACAAACATAATAACAATATTAATCTAACAATGTTTTAAACCGAAGT